CACTAACACCTTTCACCCCAACCTTAAGTTTACCTGGACCATCTCTAACACCTCTCTCCCCTTCCTGGACCTCTCTGTCTCCATATCGGGCAACCACCTAGAAACCGATATTCATTTCAAGCCCACCGACTCCCACAGCTACCTAGAATACTCCTCCTCCCACCCACCTTCCTGCAAAAATGCTATCCCCTATTCCCAATTCCTTCGCCTCCGCCGCATCTGCTCCCAGGATGAGGCATTCCACACCCGTACATCTCAGTTGTCCTCGTTTTTCAAGGACCGTAACTTCCCCTCCTCGGTGGTCGAGAACGCCCTCAACCGTGTCTCCCACATCTCCCGCACCTCATCCCTCACACCCCGTCCACGCAATAAGAACCAAAAAAGAATCCCCCTCGTCCTCACGTACCACCCCACCAACCTCCGGATCCAACGCATCATCCTCCGACACTTCCGCCATCTGCAATCCGACCCCACCACCAAAGACATCTTTCCCTCCCCACCCTTATCTGCTTTCCGGAGGGACAACTCTCTCCGTGAATCCCTTGTCCGCTCCACACTCCCCTCCAGCTCCACCACACCCGGCACTTTTCCCTGCAACCGCAGGAAGTGCTACACCTGCCCCCATACCTCCTCCCTCACCCCCATCCCAGGCCCCAAGAAGACTTTCCACATCAAGCAGATGTTCACCTGCACATCTGCCAATGTGGTATACTGCATCCGCTGTACCCGGTGTGGCTTCCTCTACATCGGGGAAACCAAGCGGAGACTCGGGGACCGCTTTGCAGAACACCTACGCTCGGTTCGCAACAAACAACTGCACCTCCCAGTCGCGAACCATTTCAACTCCCCCTCCCATTCCTCAGACGACATGTCCATCCTGGGCCTCCTGCAGTGCCACAACGATGCCACCCGAAGGTTGCAGGAACAGCAACTCATATTCCGCTTGGGAACCCTGCAGCCCAATGGTATCAATGTGGATTTCACAAGTTTCAAAATCTCCCCTCCCCCTACCGCATCCCAAAACCAGTCCAGCTCGTCCCTGCCTCCCTAACCTGTTCTTCCTCCCACCTATCCCCTCCTCCCACCTCAAGCCGCACCTCCATCTCCTACCGACCAACCTCATCCCGCCCCCTTGACCTGTCCATCCTCCCTGGACTGACCTATCCCCTTCCTAACTCCCTACCTACACTCACCTTTACTGGCTCCATCCCCGCCTCTTCGACCTGTTTGTTTCCTCTCCACCTATCCTCTCCTCTATCCCTCTTCTATCCGCCTCCCACTCTCTCCCTATTTTTTTCGAAACCCCCTTCCCCTCCCCCTTTTCTGATGAAGGGTCTAGGCCCGAAACTTCAGCCTCTCTGCTCCTATGTTGCTGCTTGGCCTGCTGTGCTCATCCAGCCCTGCACCTTGTTGTCTCGGATTCTCCAGCATCTGCAGTTCCTACTATCTCTGATTAAATAAAGGGGACTTGGTGATTGGATCCCTGCCCCCCTCGGAGTTATTTCCGTGGTGACCAGAGTACAACAGTCTGCTCCTGAAGAAATTTGCCTGCAAAAGTCATCTTTGAGTTCTGAATCATAGAGTCCCTACAGCATGGAAATAGGCCCTTTGGCCCAACAACTCTCTGAAGAGCATCTCACCCTCCTGCCCTCGCCCTGCATTTCCCATGGCCAAACCACCTAAACTACATATTTTGGACTGTGGGAGGAAAGCAGAGCACCCACAGGGAGAATGTGCAAACCCCACACAGACAGTTGCCTGAGGCTAGAATTGAACCTCGGTCCTTGGTGCTGTGAGGCAGCAGTGCTAACTGCTGAGCCACCATGTTGGGGAAGCATTTTTGGCAAAATGCCTTTATTCAGGAGCAACTGAATAAAGACAACATTTGGGAACAACTGATAAAAGGGGTTAGCTAACACTGAGATGCAAGTTGCAAAACTCATTGTTTAAACTTTAAAGAGAATATCAGAAGACGTTTTCCTCAAAATCAAGAATTCAATAATTAATTTTCTCCGTATTTTCCCAGCTTTCTCCCCATTGCCCATTCCACCTGAGGGAGTGTAAAATTCTTTATTTCTTGATTAGTTTTGGAAAGATTTGTAAAAGTTTGAATTGAAAGCAAGGAGGGGAATCTGTTAATGTCTGGGGATGCATTGACATCACGGTAATATCACTGGATTGGTAATCCTGAACCTTAGGCTCATAATCTGGGACATGATCTTGTATCCTACATGGCAGATCCTGAAATTTGAGCTTGAAAAAAATGTAATTAAAAGCTAGTTTAGTGGTTAGATGTAAACCATTGTCAATCGCCATCAAAGACGATCTTGTGTCCTTTTGAGGAATGAAATGAACCCCTCTTGCCTGGTCTGACCGAGACATGACTCCAGACTCTCAGCAACAACTGCCCTCTCAAATAAGCCAATCAGTTCATGGGCAACTGTATTGTATGCAAGAATAAAGAAACAATCATCGTTGTGGTCTTTATTTAGGTTACACAATATAGGGGCAGAATAAAGAAACAATCATTGTTGTGGTCTTTATTTAGATTACAGAATATAGGGGCAGGGGTGTGGTCCAGTGGTGAGCAGTGCTGTTTGATTCCACCCTCTGCAACCGTCTGTGTGGAGTGTTGCACATTTTCTCGCTGTGTCTGCATGGGTTTCCTCCGGTGTTTCCTCCCACAGTCCAAAGCTGTCCAGGTTAGGCGGCCTGGCGATGGGAAATGTAGGGTTATAGGGAGAGGCTAAGGGGGTGGGTCTGGGTGGAATACTCTTCAAAGGTTCGATGTGGACTTGATGGACAAATAGCCTGCTTCCACATTGTAGGGATTCTATGAATACCGGTGGGGCTCTTTAAATGTCAGAGCAGAAGTGACACGAGGGGAGAGGTATGACTGACAACGTCAATGAACTGGCTGTACAACAGAAAACATATTTACCTTGGTTTTAACAATTGGCTTGCATTCACCCAACAACAAAGTCTTCACATAACGGGCAGGCCATTTAGGACTGAGATGAGGGAGAGTGTCTTTGCTCAGAAGGCAGTGAATTTTTGGAACTCCTCACTACAGAGGTCTGTGGAAGCTTAATCTTTCAGAATGTAGAAATCTATCAATCTCAGTCTTGAACATAATGTTATGACAGAGTGGGTGAATGCACTGCCTCCTTTTAGAGAGAGCACTGTGTCACTGGTCACAGCATATATTTAAGCCATTTAAACAATTAGTAACTTTGCCAGCTGTTTACTTCATCCACATTAGCTTCAGAAACTTTCATAAACAGCAAAATATACCAATTTATTCAAAAACAGGATTCATTCAGCAAAGATGCAAAGTTGGATGGTGCACATCTTTTTAAAAATGAAAGTTCAAATATTTGCAGTTCACACACACACGCACACGCATTTGTTCTTTAGTCATGATTGACTTTGGGAAACAAATCAGAGTTGTTTCTGATTTTTTCTTCTGCTGCAGAGCTGCTGAGCGTTTCCAGGAACTTCTGTTTTTATTCCTGATTTGCAGCATCCATAGTTCTTTCAGTTTTTATTCGGGAAACAAATCTTTGGCTCATTATTTTTCATTCTCAAATTGAATGATGCTGCCTACACAATGAGTTTTTCATTTTTGCAACAAGTCTTGGCATGGCACTTTATCAAACGCAGAGATATTTTCTGTGAGGTCTGGGATTATCCTGCTGAACAGCTGGAGAAGGAATCACACATGTTCTTGTCACTTTAACTACATGGTTGACTTCCTGGGGCCTGTGACATAATCACTGGGGCATCAGGTAGAGATGAGATTTCTACCTGGAATAATAGTCATATTGTCACGGGTTGATAATACAGTTTAGTAATTAGCTTGAAAAAACACTGCAGCAAAATGTAACAGAGAATAAATTGCAAACACTGGTAAGAAATAGTGTTCATTGAGTTGAAATGCTTCAGAATCCAAAAGTGAATGTGGTACAAGGACACTGTGTCACTGAGGCAACTAGCAAAGAGGAACAAATACACGGTTACACAGTAAGGAAACACAGCAGGGACAGCACCTCTGACATAAGCATCAACAATAAGATACATCAAACAGAATTTGAAATACAAGCAAAACCCATGACCCACTCGCAAACTACCAGCAAAATCCCTGTGATCCACTCCCCAAACACCAGCAAAACCCCTGTGACCCACTCCCGAACCACCAGCAAAACCCC